TACAAAAAAGAGAAATGTCCATGCCCCTTTTAACTTGTAATTTATTTAAATTAATTATGAACATTTATTTAACCTCAAAAGTATAGTTTTTAAATTAATAGTTGCTGAAACAGCAAGTTTCTCAGTGGACCTGCTCTCAAAAATGCAGCCTAAGTGGAGTCGTCGAACACAGATCCACTGATCCTTYAACACAGAGCATCTCCAGAAGACAAGTTGATAAAATATATTTTAAAAATCTGTATTGTTCGATACAAGTGTGTATTGAACCTAAAGCACTGTTTGATACGGGTACATGTATTGTTGCACCCCTAATAATTAATAAAGTCCTGCTCTCACCGGCTCTTCATTGCTGCCAATCTCCATTCAAATTTCGCCTCATTTTATTTTCTTGTTCCTGTAAATTTTTTTACTGCTTGTCAGATAACTTTGAGCTTCAGTCATAAAGGAGGTCTGAGGGGTTCTATTTTTTTCAATTTAAGAGAAAGATGAGACTGACGATGGACAGCGGTGTTTTTTCCATGAGATTTCCGTGTTTCCAGCTCCCTTCAGCTGCAACGTGCTTCAAAATAGAGTGTTCATTTTCAGAAAAAAATAGTAAGATATGCTATTTATCGTAACTCTGGTTTTCTTCTCTTGACCTATCAACACAATTTAAAAATTGCTGTGTCTCTACTTGACACAGTTTGAAACAGAGTCTCAATGAGTTTYCCCCCCCGATACAAAAATGGAGGTTGAAATCACGTGACTGAATGACATCGCTCCGACTTCGAGAATGACTTTAATTGTGTTTGCAGGAGAAAAGGGAGCTGAACCAGAACATGAAGTATGTGGAGCTTCTGTTGGTGGCAGATAAAGCTGAGGTGAGGATATGCATAATACTGTATTTGCATTTTTCAGCTGCACAGCAGCTGACATCACATCTTTAAAAGTGTGAGTTTTGAAAGCGGCTATTTTCCTTTGAAGTCTGTGTTTAGAGAATTAATCATCACAAGATCAGTTATAGAAACACATGATGTGTTATGACCTTATAGGTTTACTTAAACTGCAGATTAGGTTGATCTCTATTTTCATCATTTCATCCGAGAAGTTTCTCTTTAATTAATAGATGGGTGTTTATTGTGTTCCGTTGCAGTTTGAGTGGCATGAGCGGAGTTTTGACAAGACCAGAGTGAAGTTGCTGGAAGCGGCCAACTTGGTTGACAAGGTTGAAGCATCTCGTTAAAAACTCCCAGAGTTGTTTCATTTAAAGTGCTGAGTCATAAATGTCTGCCTCTTCTGTCCACGCCTGCAGTACTACAGGGCTCTGAGCATCCGCGTGGCTGTGATCGGCCTGGAGGTGTGGACCGACCAGGACAAGATCAACATGTCTGAGAACGCTCGGAGCGTGCTGGATGCGTTTCTGTCCTGGAGACAGAAAATGCTCAAAACTCTGCCTAACGACAACGCTCAGCTTATCACGTCAGTATCTAAATGTTTGATCCAGTTTTGATGTAACCAAGACATCAAAACTTAGCGTTTGCTAAGTGTCCCTTCTGAAAGCCTGTGTTTGTGTGTAGTTAGCAAAATATCACATGACTAATTGGACAGATTTTATAAATATCTCAGGAAGTAATACTGAATGTACATACACCAATTAACCTTTGGAGGCAATGCAGTTCAAGATGACTGCTTCGGCTAATCCGCATTAGCAAACATAGATAGCTGTAACTAAGTAAATGGAACAGATATTGAGCTAAAATTTGGTGTGTTAATAGCTGAGAGTCATATACAGAATATATTGTGGGTGCTAACAGATTGCACACTATGTTAGTTTCATGATGTCACCAAAAAGGCTACGGCACTTCTTACCCTCAGATAACGGCGATCTCCACTCATGGCGTCATGGATAATCTTTGCGTAGATACCCAGCTGCTCTCTCACAAGTATCTTAAATGATTGTTCAAGTGGCAGGGATTCGACGGAGATTCAGTGTTATCATAACTTAAAAAGAAGCTCCAACGCAAAGTTTGACACATCAGGAAATACAGGAAGGTTCAGTTGAAATGTTTGCTCCCAGTGAGATTCTGTGTCATTTTCCCAAATTTCTTTATGCTTAAACACAGCTAAAAGGCGCACTGCGATTGATAGCTGTAGAGTCCGCTACCAGAGTTTGTACACATACACTCACCGGCCACTTTATTAGGTACACCACGCTAGTAACGGGTTGGACCCCCTTTTGCCTTCAGAACTGCCTCAATTCTTCGTGGCATMGATTCAACAAGGTGCTGGAAGCATTCCTCAGAGATTTTGGTCCATATTGACATGATGGCATCACACAGTTGCCGCAGATTTGTCGGCTGCACATCCATGATGCGAATCTCCCGTTCCACCAAATCCCAAAGATGCTCTATTGGATTGAGATCTGGTGACTGTGGAGGCCATTTGAGTACAGTGAACTCATTGTCATGTTCAAGAAACCAGTCTGAGATGATTCCAGCTTTATGACATGGCGCATTATCCTGCTGAAAGTAGCCATCAGATGTTGGGTACATTGTGGTCATAAAGGGATGGACATGGTCAGCAACAAGACTCAGGTAGGCTGTGGCATTGCAACGATGCTCAATTGGTACCAAGGGGCCCAAAGAGTGCCAAGAAAAGATTCCCCACACCATGACACCACCACCACCAGCCTGAACCGTTGATACAAGGCAGGATGGATCCATRCTTTCATGTTGTTGACGCCAAATTCTGACCCTACCATCCGAATGTCGCAGCAGAAATCGAGACTCATCAGACCAGGCAACATTTTTCCAATCTTCTCTTGTCCAATTTCGATGAGCTTGTGCAAATTGTAGCCTCAGTTTCCTGTTCTTAGCTGAAAGGAGTGGCACCCGGTGTGGTCTTCTGCTGCTGAAGCCCATCTSCCTCAAAGTTCGACGTACTGTGCGTTCAGAGATGCTCTTCTGCCTACCTTGGTTGTAACGGGTGGTTATTTGAGTCACTGTTGCCTTTCTATCAGCTCGAACCAGTCTGCCCATTCTCCTCTGACCTCTGGCATCAACAAGGCATTTCCGCCCACAGGACTGCCGCTCACTGGATGTTTTTTCTTTTTYGGACCATTCTCTGTAAACCCTAGAGATGGTTGTGCGTGAAAATCCCAGTAGATCAGCAGTTTCTGAAATACTCAGACCAGCCCTTCTGGCACCAACAACCATGCCACGTTCAAAGGCACTCAAATCACCTTTCTTCCCCACACTGATGCTCGGTTTGAACTGCAGGAGATTGTCTTGACCATGTCTACATGCCTAAATGCACTGAGTTGCCGCCATGTGATTGGCTGATTAGAAATTAAGTGTTAACGAGCAGTTGGACAGGTGTACCTAATAAAGTGGCCGGTGAGTGTAGATGTTGGACGAACGTAGTCATTTGACTATTGTTATAAATAAAGTTTGAGTGGAGAGTTTCAAACCCTGGCTTGATCAGGAGGCGATTGGAGGCCTTTGATTTTATTTACATTTAGTCTTTTTGTCTACAGAAGGAGGTCATTCCAGGGCACAACCATTGGGCTGGCAACTCTCAGAACCATGTGCTCTGATTACCAGTCAGGTGGAGTGAACCAGGTAAGACAATAACATTTGTGGATACATGTTATTCCGGGCTTTCTTTTAAGGTCCTGTCACACTATGATATTATAGACAACTTATGGAAATTTTGTTGAAATTTGAAGATGTCTACACTGAAGACAGAATAAAATTAATCAACTGGAAGCTTCTTTTGGACGTATACATACTGCTATTCAAAGGATTAGATCAAATATAAAACTTATATGCGTTATTTAGTCAAAAATATTTTCATAAGTTGGCATAAGTTGTCTAAAACATTATAATGTGACAGGGTCTTTTGACAAATTTGTATCAGATTCTGCTCAGCAAGAGCAATTAAATTTACTATTATTATTATTTTTATTATTGTTATTATTATTATTATTATTATTATTATTATTATTATTACACATTTGGAATGTATCAAGTGCTGCTGTTTTTTTTGTTTGTTTATTTTATTTTTATTTTATTTATTTTTTGTTTTAAACCTAACAGCTGACTCCTCTGTTGAACAGGACCACTCACCTGTGTCTCCGGTTGGTGTTGCTGCCACCATGGCTCACGAGATGGGCCACAACTTCGGTATGAGTCACGACAGCACGGGCTGCTGCCAGGCGAAACCAGAGGATGGAGGCTGCATCATGGCTGCAGCTACTGGGTAACTGAAACAGAAAGTCTTGTTCAGCTAGAGAAATCTGTGGAAATGCAGTTGGGATGATAAAAATAATCTGCTGAAATTTGTTAAAGAAGCGAAAACGAAAATTTTAGTTGAAACAAGCAGAACAAAACTTACAATTAACAAAATAGTAGCTAAAAGCTTAAATGAGCAAAACTGTAGCTAAAACATAAAACTGACAAAAGAATAGCTTAAGCTTTAGTTAGCTAAATTGTAGATGAAAGTTAAAATTAGCAAAACAATACCTAAAGAAGGGAAATGGAAGCTAAAAGGAAAATGGAGCAGAACAGGAGCATGAGGAGACATACAAGTGCCTTCCATTTACCATTTAAATAAAATATTATTGGGATCTAATTAAAATAAATTCAATTTTAAAAAGTATAAAGGATACAAACACCAAAGGTCATACAGCCAATCTAGATCGAGCAAAAAGTTTTGATATCTGAATGGTTGAAAACAAGTGCAAAGAGTGCAGATTTAATTCCTCTTGCATGAAAGACACTATGAACAGGAAAATCATAGTGTGAAAGCTGATGCTGAGTCATCATTCACACCATTATTTAAGATGAGTTGATCGGTTTTGAAGGTAAAATTTCACGCAGTTTGATTTTCTCTGCTTTCGTGTGTCCCACAGGTCTCCGTTTCCCCGCGTGTTCAGCAGCTGTAACGTGCAGGAGCTGAAGAGCTTTCTGAGCTCTGGAGGAGGGAAGTGTCTCTTCAACTTACCAAATACTCATTTAATGTACGGAGGGCGGCGCTGCGGAAACGGCTACCTGGAGGAAGGGGAAGAGTGTGACTGCGGAGAGGAAGAGGTCCGTGTTTTTTTTTTTTTTTTTGTTTTATGCAGGAGGAATATTTCCCTGTGATATTTTACTACACAAATCTGTCTGTGTAGGAGTGCACCAGTCCCTGCTGTAATGCAAAAAACTGCACCCTGAAAGCTGGAGCAGAGTGTGCCCATGGAGTGTGTTGCCAGAACTGCAAGGTAGAACATTTCTATAAATAAATGTCATACAAATGTTTTAATATAAGCTGTTTAGCTTTGCCATTGAGGAAGTTTATATTTCTGTAACGTAGCTCTAAAACACTTCCAGCTGTTCACTGAAACGTCTTATCTTCTGGTTGCATCTCACCGTGAAGCTGAAGAGCCCTGGAGAACTTTGCCGTGCTCCCTCTGGGCCCTGTGATCTGCCAGAATACTGTGATGGAAAAACTGAGATCTGCCCGGCCAATTTTTACCTGATGGACGGTACTTCTTGTGCCGACGGGAAGGCCTACTGCTACACTGGCATGTGTTTGACCCTGGAGCTGCAGTGTCAGACACTCTGGGGACACGGTGGGTAAACTAGACTCATGTCGTCTTCAGATCTTTAGCTGCAAAATGAAATAGTTCTTTAACATTAGGCTTGTGTGATATGACAGTATTTGGTTATACCACGGTATTAAAAAATTATGATGGTACGTAAGGCAAAGCACCAAATTTCTGCAAGGCTGTCATGYCTCTTAACTCCAAGCAAGGTTAAAACAAAAAATCTCTGGGTTACTCGCCATCTCCTGAAAAGTTGGATCAGCGCAGTGTTGACTGACTTCGGGAACGACCCAGTCATGGGTTTCTTACGTCAAATAGCTGGACCCCTTTCAAATTTCAACTTTCTGTGATTTATTTGTTTATTTCTTGGCTCCTCGCTACATGATGAGGAAATACCTTCAAACTTTATTGGCACCAAGACTGGTTAAAAGTATGCAGCAGCATGGATGCAGCCATAGTAAGTCAGATTGTTTTAAAACTTAAAACCCTAAAAAGACTTACTTGCCCTGTATTTTGATTTATTTGACGTAATAAGGGGCAAAGCCATTTTGTGACTCCTCTCCTGCTGCTCTCAAATTGAGCCTTTCTCCATTAATTATCAATTACTCAATTCATAATTACTCAAATACACMGCCCTCTTCCCGGTAATATCATATACTACGTTATTTATGGCATTTAGCTAACAATTAATATGACGATAAACGGATGACAATTGCACTTGTATGTTTTTGACTCAGTTACCCTGAGTTCTAAAATTACACTTGAAATCATCAATCAAACTAACATTCAATTCAACAGCCATGGCTACGGCCCACCTCGCGTTATCTCTTTCTAACACTCACTTTGCCCCCCAGAAGGTGCACACTGACTGAGAGCATTGTGGATTCTCGGCTGAGTAGATTTGTTTCCATCATTCGCTGGAGGAGAGTTTGTTGTAGCCAACAGTTGGTTTGGTCCGCATTTTCTGGTTTGTGTCATGTGATTAAATAAGTTTGCAGTGTTGCTGTGTGTTGTCTTCACTTTGCTGTTACACACCTTGCAAAAGACCCTGATCTGCTCAAGGTCAAACCTGAAGAAACCAAACCAGTTCCATACCGCAGAAGTTGAACCTAATCTAGGAATGAGACGCACTGAACCGCCTTCCGCCATCTGTTATATGATAATGAGAGGGCGTGGCACACAAAAACATGTCATTATTACGCAGCACTAATAGCAGTAATCACAAAATGTCAAATATTAATCAGTGACAGTTTTTCTGATGATCAATTGCATTCAATACGATTTTGCACAAGACTACCAAATTTCTAAGCGGGACTTTGGGTTCTGAAACTAAATGATCAGTATCGAGCTGAACTGTGTAGAAGGCTTTACAGAATGAAAAAATACAAGCTTCTTAAAGGGATCCCTAATTAGTTGTAACATTAGACTTTATTTGATAAACATTTATTTTAACTGTAAAATAAAGACTAAAAAATACTGTAGGATGTTTGGTTTTGTCATTTTCAAAAAATATATTTTAACACGGACGGAGCCATTTTATTTACACACAAAGCATTCTGGGTAAATGATGATGTGGATAGGTCCTCGGTGTGAGCGAGCTATATCCACCCTGAAGGTTAATCTTGGACAATATCTGATGATCGACTCTTTTAAATGAAACCAGAGAGCGTTGACAGAGAGGAGAAGGTAGAAATGACTCAGCCTGTAACTGAAAATATGGATGGAGGACAACAGAGCTGCTTCATGGAAGAAGAACCTAAGCTTAGCCTGTTAGCCTATGTGCTAGCGTCGAAGCTATATTGCCTTATGAATTAGCTCAGCGCTAGCGTGACAAACAAACTAAACTGAGGTCCTCCATACATTTTTTTTTCAGTTGCAGGCTGAGTCATTTTTGTGTTCCCCTCTCTGTCATGTGGATGGAGGACCTCAGTGATGAGAGGAGAATGTGTAACGCTGAGCTAATACATATATATGGTGATAGCATCAGGGCTAACGCTAAAGCCAACAGGCTAAGCTGAGGTTCTTCTTCCATGAAGCAGCTCTGTTGTCCTCCATCCACATTTTCAGTTACAGGCTGAGTCATTTCTACCTTCTCCTCTCTGTCAACGCTCTCTGGTTTCATTTTAAAGAGTCGATCATCAGACATTGTCCAAGATTAACCTTCAGGGTGGATATAGCTCGCTAGCAGCCTCGTGCCGAGGACCCATCCACGTCATCATTTACCCAGAATGCTTTGCGTGTAAATAAAATGGCCCCGTTCGTGTAATTTACTTTTAAACTTTTAGTTTAAAAATTTACAAAAGYAACAGCCTATAGTATTTTTACAGTCTGTATTTTACAGTTAAAATACATGTTTATTAAATAAAGTCTAATGTTACAACTAATCAGGGATCCCTTTAAACAAAGCAAATGAGTCAGAAAACTACAGTCAATAAAGGCAGTTAAGTTAAAGTTTACCACCAGATCAGGCAGGGATGGATATTGATCTGTAACCATACTCATAATGTGTCTTTATGGGGACAGGTATGGATGTTCATTTATGGTTTTGTGGCTGAGGTTTTGATACGTTTGCGTGGTTTTTCCTTCCTTCCACCACAGATGCTCGTCCAGCCCCTGACCTGTGTTTTAGGGAGGTAAATAAAGCCGGGGACATGTACGGGAACTGCGGCAAAGATCAGCAGGGGAAATACAGGAGTTGCAAAGACCGGTGAGGACCGTAACCTTCAGCAGTGCTCTCAAGAAACTCTCCTTCTCTTTCATCTGTATTTTTATCATTACCAGAGACACTAAGTGTGGCAAAATCCAGTGTTCAGCTTCAGTCTCCAAGCCCATCGAGGACAACGCCGTCCGAATAGAAACCACCGTGTCGGGGGACAAGAAGAAGTTTGTGTGTTTGGGCACGCATGTGTACAATCTCCAGCCAGAGGACGAGGAGCAGCCGGGGGACACCCTGGACCCGGGCCTGGTCTTGACGGGCACCAAGTGTGACAGCGACTCTGTGAGACTTGTGAAAAGATGCTAAACAGAACTTACAGAAGTGACAAAGATCAGATCTGTGACACTTGGTAGCTACTCCTCTAACGTTCCTTCTCATGTTTCAACAGATTTGCTTCAACGGAGAGTGTCGCAATGCGTCATTCCTCAGAGCCGGCGAGTGCAACGTCAAGTGCCACGGACATGGAGTAAGTTTCTGTGTCTCAGCAGTGATGTGAGCAGGTCTGATGGATTTATTCAGGCTTTTAGGAAACACTTGGCTGCTGGCCACCATTCTTGGCAGTGGTGCAAAAACTATTCAGGTTATTTGTCTGATTAAAAGTTGCAGCATGATGAACGAATACTTCAGTGCAACTTTGTAAAACAGCAGAAGAAAAGTATTATCAGGAAAATGGACTGAAGGTATAAGAGGTAAAGATATTTATAGACTGAGCATGTTCTTGAGTGTTTTGTGTATTTATTTGCTAATTAAACTTACCAACCAGTTCTCCTAAAATGCTATGCTATAATTACTATTGCTGATTGCTATAATTCTTGCTCCACTTTATTCTCATAATATTAAGACTTTATTCTCATAATTTAAAAAAATATATTGTAGTCCGCCCTAAAACTCCATCACGTATTTTAGCATAACTTTGACAAAGTGGTCATTTGTTGGACATCATTACTTTCTGGTGTCAGACAGTTCAATTCAAGATGGCCACCACAGTGAAGTGATCTTATCAAACACAAATACGTCTATAACTTACACGTTTTACAGATAAGGAGCTAAAATTTGTTGATACTCATCCCCCAACTTACATTTTGAGAGTTAACATAAGATCTGCTTTTAAAAACTCTGTATTTAACTTTTGTAGTCTGCTCTTTTTAATTAAACTTTCATAAAATCATTGAATGTACGTCTACAGCTGAAAACCTGTTGGAGTTAACTTGGTTCAAGATGGGAACCACAGCCAACTAACGTTAGAAATCACACCAGTTAATTTGACAGATAAATCAGATGATCGTAGTTTAACACTCTGACATTTTGGGTGATRTTTGTTCTTTCAAGAAATACTTGGCCTTTTTACTGAAAACACWATCAGCTTTGTTGTTCATATTCCCAGCTGTGCAACAACAACCATAACTGCCACTGTGATCGGGGCTGGGCACCACCTTGGTGTAACCAGAGTGGGTCTGGGGGGAGTGTGGAAAGTGGACCTGTCCCCCCACCAAGTGAGTCACTTTGACTGTCTTGTGTTTCAGCTCTATATATTATAATATTCTAACAATATGAGGCCTTCTTACTTTTTTGTTTTGTTTTGTTTTCCCAAAGGATATTTCACTCTAGTGCTGCTGCTTCTTCTGGCTCTCTTTGTCGTCTTGGTTGGTTTTGGACTTCGGTGGCGCTACACTTGTCAAAACATCCTGCTGAAATCTCCATCAGCAGAGCCCAAGTATGTTATTCTGAACAAACCAATGATTTCCACCAGCAGAGTTCACTTGATGATCACATTTGATCTTGATTTTCAGTTGTACAAACCTACACTGTAGATGATTAGACTCTTTCACCCGCTTCGGATGTTATCATCCATTAAATGGACGTTATTAGCCGTTATCAGTCCCATAGAATGGCTTCAGACTGTCAGCTGGTTAATATGAGGCATAAAGCCACTAAGGTTAATTTTAGAGAAAATGACATGGGCTACGATAAAGTAGACCAGACTCCGGCGGTAGCAGATTGTTGCATTCCAACGAATATGGCACTGGTAACCCACTAGGGGGCACTGTCAGAACAGTCTGAAGCCATTCTATGGGACTGATAACAGCAAATAACATCCATTTAATGGACTGATAACATCCGAACCAGCTGACTCTTTCTGTTCTGTTCCATAGGTTTTCAGTAACAGTGGAGGACAAGCCTTTAAGTACAGATGGTCATATCATCGGCCGCGCCAACCCAACATTCATATTAAAGGATCAGAACTCGGTAAAGAAGTCTTTCATGTTCCAATACATGAGTTGAATTCTACCATTTTTTTTTCGTATCTTATTGTGCCTCTCTCTCACACCTGAAGGCCTCTCCTCGACCCAGACCTGCTATTGTTCGCCCAGCGGTGAAACCACCTCCCATACCCGCCTACGCCACAGAGCAGAGAGCACAGAAGCCACAGGTCCCGCCTGTTACCTCTCCTCCTCAGGGACAAGTGTCTCCTCAGGGCTGCACCCAGCCTTTCCTTAGGTCTCCCGAGTCCAAAGGACTGAGACCAGTTCAGGTTTCTTCACCACTTCCAGGACCCTCATCTTTACCCTTCAAGGACCTTAGAGGGCACTTTCAGCCGTTGGCAATAAACAAAGACAGACCTAACCCACCAAAGAGACCCCCGCCACCTTGTCCCGTCAATAAACAATCAGTGGTAAATACAGTTGTACATTTGTAAACAAGACCACTCCACAATGATGTCTGTTTACGCAGGATCTAGCTATCACTGTTATTATTATTATTATTATTGATGTTATTGTTAATTTTATTCTGTTTATATTATTTTAGTAAAATTGTTATTGTCATTATAATTGTTTACTGATTCAGTTTGTCTGTAATTTGTTTTGCACAATTTCTTTCCACAGCCTTGTCTAGGAGCTCAGGGATGAGCCGGGGACCACCACTTTTTTCCAGTACTGGATTGCCTTTTACTGTCTTTTTGTAAGAAAAAAAACCTGTAGTACTGTGAAGTAAAATAAATACTTGACAGTGAATTTAGAAGGATGTGCACTGAGAAAAGTAGAAAAAAACAACAACAACAAAACATGTCATGATGAGTATGAGATTCAGGCTTCATCAGCTGAAACAGGCAGAGCTGCAACTTTCAAGATCGTCTTTGTTTTTTCTATTGTCTTGAATACTGATAGAAATATGAAGTTTACTATTTTAAAAAAAGAAAAAAAGAAAACTGGAATGTTTACAATGCAGCTTACGAATCAAATATGGTACCTCTTAGTGTCAGCAGCTAGAAAAGAATGTCTTATAATAAGAAAAGGTGCAGAAAAACAATGTGCATGCTGTAATGTATACGCTTATAGTGAGARACTTGTCAAAAGAAGAGGGATTTTTTAGGTTAATTTTGAAATGATTTGTTTACTGCCACCATGTTGCACTTTTGGGTTAAACACTCACCACTTGAAGGCATTGATAATAAGTATTAAACAATGAAATATACTTCCAGAAAATATAATTTGCCTTTATTCTGCTTTGAAATGAACAGGAGTTGATTATAAAAATGACACTTTAAGGTGACTTTTTTAACCCGCAGTAACTTTTAATTTTTAGTTCAGCTGCTTCAATTGTCTTGAWACCTTTGTCAGAATATAAAGTCATGTTTGATCAAACGTATCATCCAATCAGGATTCTGTGTAAATGTGCAAATATGACCAAAAACTATCCATTTGTTGTGTGACTGCAGGTTGGGCCACGCAGATGAATCGAGCATCGTTAATGAGAATTTTATAAAATTGTAGTCCACGCAGCAATTTGATCAACTGTCCGCCTGATTTTGAGGACAGGCTGTCAACTGCCACGTTTTACCTCAACACCTCTCCTGTGCAAATGTAGGGAATGTGCTGCTCTGCAGCTAAAACTGGAAATTAAATCAACAGATGAACAAATAAAGATGTTCAACTTTCTATCTGGTTGTGTGTGTGTTTTTTTTAAATCAAAGAAATTCTTGAGACTGAGATGTTAGGATTCTTTTTTTTTTTTTGAAGAGCAGCTCTTTAGATAATGCTTACACTATAAATGTGCAGTGTTGTATAAAGTACCACAAAGTGATACTTGAGTAAAAGTACAAG